AAAAATACATAAATATATAAAAACCCAACCAGATGGAAGCCCTCGGCAGGGGAGACCAGACGGCCGAGGGTTAGGGGGAAAGGGAAAGAACCCGGCGGACGATGCGGGCGGTATCGAGGAGCAACGCCTTCTGCATTTGAGCCTGGAGCGGTCCGTCACGGAGTCCCAGTCGCCTCAGATGACCCGGGAGGCTGACTGGGATTAACCCGTTCGCAGAAACGACCACAGGAATAATTTCGGTCGGCAGACCACCCCACATGCCGGTAACCTCGTGAGCCAGGTCCAGATATTTTGTCACCTTATCTGTTTCGGCTTTCACGAGGTTCTCGTCATAAGGAATGGTAATGTCGACCAAAAAGATCCTTGAGTGTGCCCGGTCCATCAGCACAATATCAGGCTTATTCGCAAGAATAGTCCTGTCTGTGATGATGGCCCGGTCCCAGTAGAGCCTGGCGCGGTCATTTTCGAGCACGGCTTCCGGCAAGTACTTATAATACGGCAGTTTCCGATCCACGAGGCCGTATTTCAGAGCGAGCTCCTGGTGTAGAATCCTGGCTACTAGATTGTGTCTGTGCAAATACTCAGAGTTAGAAAGCGCCGAACAACCGGAGATGACATGCCTAAGTGACTCACCGGGATGGCGACAAGCTCGACAGATATTATATTATTATTATATTATTGTATATAATCATATATTTATCATTAACATTTTAGTAAAACGTAGGGACTCTGCACACTACCGTCTACGGCACATCTCGCATGAGGTAAGAATTAAAAAAAAAATACTCGCTCGCATAAAATTGACCGTCGGAACTTGCTCGGGGCCGGCTGAAAATCAGCGCCGCAAGCTCGCGGCATATGCTGAGACGGCCCCTTCCACCACTTCATCATAGCACACCATTTTTTTTAATGGACGCACTTTTATTTATTCTGATTTTTGTTTGTTTGTTTGTTTGTAAGTCATTTGTTTTATTTTTAATTGTAATTTGTCATGTGTGTAGAAGATGTAAGTGTTGGAATAAATGTCTTTATGTCTTTAAGTCTCTGTGTCATAGTGCTTAAGTCCTCCAGCGATTCTGCCATAAGGACTATATCGTCGGCAAATCGAAGGTGAGTGATGTACTCGCCATTGATGTTGATACCGTATCCTTTCCAGTCCAGAAGCTTGAAAACGTCTTCCAATGCAGCAGTGAAGAGTTTCGGGGATATGACGTCACCCTGTCTTACACCTCTCTGCAATTGGATAGGTTTCGTACTCTGGTTCTGTACTCGGATAGCCATCATAGCCCTACTGTACAAGCACTTCAACACTTCGATATACCGACAGTCAACTTGGCACCGCTGAAGGGACTGCAGCACCGCCCAAATTTCGACAGAGTCAAAGGCTTTCTCATAGTCCACGTACGCCAGACATAGTGGCAAATTGTACTCCTCGGACTTCTGTACAATTTGCCGAAGGGTATGTATGTGGTCTATGGTGCTAAAGCCATTTCGGAAACCGGCTTGTTCCTGAAGCTGGAAGTCGTCAAGTCTGCGCGCGAGACGATTCGTAATGACTCCCGAAAACAGCACGTAGACGCGGCTTAGAAGGGAAATCGGTCTGTAGTTCTTCAAGAGAGCGTTGTCACCTTTCTTGAAGAACAAGACCACCGCATTTCTGCTCCACGCCTCCGGTGTAATGCCACCATTGAGGACGGAATTAAAGAGCTTCCGAAGGACTTCAAGTACCGGTTTTCCACCCGCTTTCAGAAGCTCCGCTGTAATTCCATCCTCGCCTGGAGCCTTGTCGTTTTTAATGTGCTGGAGAGCCATTATAATCTCACAGACTGACGTCCGGGATATCATCGGAATAGTGTCGGGTAAGACTCGCTCTAGGATCGTTACTCACACTTACGTGTGGCTCCAACGATGATGTGTACAGCTGCCCATAGAACCTCTCAATCTCACTCAAAATCTCAGGTGTCCCGGAAACGACGCTGCCACACTCGGTCTTCAGCTTAGACAGTTGGCTCTTTCTGGCAGACAGATCTCTAGCAAAGACTTTGGAGCCCTGGTTCCGCTCGATCGCTTCTTCAATACGAGCAGTATTAAAGTTGCGTAAGTCCCGCCGCATGCATTATGATGAATATTGGCCTTTTATATAATTGACTAGTATTTTTTTAAAGAAGAGATAGCAAATGAGTATACGGCTCACCTGATGTTAAGTATCTGGATCCAGATCTACATATGGAAAAGTACGATAGCGTTGTCAATTCTAAAGACTGTTATGAAATACCACACAGGCCTTAGAATCTGCGGTAGATCAAAGGCTTAGCGCTCCCAGTAAATTTCACAATAGGCGAGCAATCCGGGTTCGATTCACACCGGCACCAATGAAATTGTTAATTGCGATTTTAAGTGATAATTTACCAAAATGCATGTCTGAGAAATAAGAAAAGAAATATTTTGAAGACATGTGAAGTTCGCCAACACGCATTGGGGCAGCACGGCAGACATTTTCTTGCCCTAAAACCCTCTCAGAATTGAGAGAGGCCTGTGCCCAGCAAAGGGACGTATATAGAGGCTATAAATTTCAACTTTAACACAGTCCTTATTTCTTTTATGTCTCTAACTGGTTTACAAAAGTAGGTGCAGCTACTTGCCGACAGAAATAGGTAAGAAGATAGTCCAGGGGTCTCATAGGTGGAATAGAACCTTAATCATTTGGTAAAATAATTTTAATTCATCATTATCATCATCAACATCACCTTTACAGCCCATCACAAGTACATTGCAAAACATAGCCCTTGGGCCACATGAGTAAAGAAACCGACCAACTGGTTCGGAAATTACCTCTGTCCTGGGAAGAACCGGCAAGAAACTCAGCGGGTCTAATTATTTTGAAAAAAGAACAGTTTACAATCATTAAAGTCACACAATTATTAACAACATAAGACATATAGGTAGCGATCAGGTCATTCTCAAGGGTCATTATCATCCATAAATACCCTTTTTATACAAATTTGTTATAAAGTTTTTGACTTGGTCAGAGTTTGCATATTTTCTAGGATTTTGTTGTACTCGTAAAATGAAGAAATGAAATGAAGATTTATTTGCTTTAAAAAAGGGGTACATTTAGGTGGTTATTATATAGTGTACATCAGCTTTTTCAGCCATCTATCGCCCCAAGAATGGATTACCGATTCAGTGGAGTCGAGTAACTGGTACTACTAGCTTATATCTGTTCCTAGTATTTACAGAATAAATAATGCTTATTTAATTAAAACTACTTATATTTTTGTATACAAACATTACATTTTAGTAAATGTATTGAGAGGCCAAAATTAATATAAAAAAGTCCTTAAATTTTGGCCTTAGAAACTTTATAGGTTTTAAATCATATATTGCCCTTATGGCCCTCTTTTGCAAAACAGATATAATTTCAGTGTCAGTCGCGCTGTAGAAATAGCTAAAATAAACAAGTCTAGCTGTTTCAACACTGAAAAGATTTCTGCAGCAGCACTTCTTTCTGCTGAAGAGCTAAGTCTGCCAGCTAGTTTTAATTTTATAAATTTGTTTGTTTTATTGTTCGTGCCGCATTCGTTCCTATACAAACATACAATTCATCCGGTTACGATGAAACTTTGGTGAGTTACTAAGTGCACGGCCGAGAAGTTTTATGACAAATAATTCTGTTAGTTTGTTTTCTATGCATTCCTATACCATTTAGCCGATTACGCGCATTGTTAATTGCAACGTATGCTGGACACAGCTAGTTAGTAATAAATTTTAGCGAATAATTCGCATGGAACAATGGAATGATTTATTATCATCATTTATAACTTTGCATCGTTATTCCAGTTACCAATTTAAAAGTCTAGTTTATTTGCGATGTCTGTTTTGCCTTCATTAAATTTTGAAGCTATTCAAATAAGTTTAAAGGTAAAGGTTGGCTAGATACATAACAGTTATTAAGTACAAAAACTTTAATTAAAACTACCATGGTAATAATAACGGTTGACAGACTCCTTAGGTAGATAAGGGAAAATTATTTCTATAATGGTAAATGTGGCTCAATTTTTGCCCATAGTTTCTAGAGGATTAATTTTACATACAAAGAAGAACGAAAAATAAAGAAAATAAAAAGAAGAAAAGAGAAAATAAGTAAAGAAAAAGAAAGAAGGTAATTTATGTAACTCTAACTTTCGTTAGGGCATCCTACCTACATCTACAAAATATCTGCTACATTACCACTACGAACTAGTGGGTTTGATTTCGATTAGCAAAATACAGTTTATTAGATTTTGTCTTTGGTTGTATTCTCTAAACTCCAAAGAATAACTCCGTGATGATAAACATCCGCCATAGGAAACGTTCAGGAAGTCGATGGATGGAAGAGGTTTCGGACCGTGTTTAGTGGCTTTCGTTGGGGCCAATGTTCAACAGTCATGTGACGAGCTTAAATGACGATGATGATGAAGATGGTGGTAACATCCCATAAGTTTGGTAAACTTACAATGCGAACAAAAGTATAAATTTTTTCTGCCGACTTCCAAAAAGGAGACGGTACTCAATTCGACTGTATGTTTTTTATGTGTGTTACGTCACAACATTGTACTGGGTGAACCGATTTACGATGATTCTTTTTTTATTTGAAAGCTGGTACTTCTCGTGTAGTGCCATATGAATTTGATCAAGGTCAGACCAATAGTTTTATTCTTAATAACTTATATTGAGTTCGGCAGTACAAAATTTTAAATATCAAATTATGTAATTGTTACTTTTTCATTTATTATGCGCATTAATATTCTAAATTTTACCTAAAATCCTGAGATGTACCAAGCCATATACGCTCGTTTGTGTGAATTATTTTAAATGTTGCTGTATGATATTATTAGAGACAAAATCCAATAAAGTCTCCGCGGACCGTTCGAGAATTTTAATAAAAGCAAAAGAGGAAAGTTTAAAATAAAAAAAAAAATTCAAAAGGACAAGAAGTTATGTAAATAAAAGTTACTTACGCGCACACGGCGCATAGCGGCGACGATCTCCACCCGGCTGGATGGTCTGGGCACATCCATGGTTCCGATGTACTGTAACAAAACAACATATAAATATTAATTATATCTAAAAGTAATAATAACTTTTGCTAATAAAAATTTAATAGTTTTCATGGATATTATTATTAAAAGCGCGCAAATAGACTTCCGTTGGCATTAATATCATTTAAAGTAAAAAAAGAAAAAAAAAGTCTTTTTCAATTTGGACGAATTCTCATCTCGTGACGTAAACTCTTCATTGCTCTCAAAGGTTTGAATATTTTATGTGTGGTACATTTTAATCAGGGATGCTACTATCTATAACGTGATTATTTTGGTATTTGAATTCGGTCAATTATATGGAATCCACCGTAAGTCGTGGTGAATCTTTAACATCAGCAGCTAAATTAAAAATAATTTTGATGACGAAGACTAAAACGTTGACAGTCTCGTTGGTCTAGATTCGTAAGGGCAACGGCATAACATGCGGCGGGGCCGTATGACATGTTCGAATCCCATGTCTGGCCAAAATTAATTAATGTGTTTTCCTATCAAATTCACGCCAACGGAAAGTACGTAAATCCGTAGTTGTATTTGCTTCTCGGTTGGACCCGTGCCTGATCTATTTGAGGGACAGGTTGCCCTCCCATCGGACTGAGACCTTATTATCATAGTCCGATGAATGAGGAGTGCTTGCAAGCATACTGGTGCACTATAATCCTGCCCTGCGCAGATGGCTAGTATTCGTTAATACTGGCCGCCGTTATCGGAATTCGGTCAGGAGTTCTTGTTATCATATCGTTCAGCATCTTTCGATATATAAAAGTAATTGAAGTTAAGCCAGTGGAAAAAGATTCATATATCATAGGAATCCAAATGTCTGAATAATAAATGTGGAAGATGATGCTACTATCTATCGTGAGATTATTTTGTTAAAATAACATTTTTACAAAATAATATCACGCTTATTTGGCATCCACAGTTAGACAAGGTAACAATCTTTGACACCGGCAGTTAAATTTAACATAATTTCGTTTTGGCAAATTTTTAAAAGGGTGGTAAATTAACTGTGATCCTCTGATAGCTTTTATCCACCGTCTATCCTCGATTAAGAATCAAAATCTTGTCCGAAGGCACAATAACTATTATATTCTTCTTTCTTATAAATATTGTTATCGTTACTTTCATATAGAATGTGCATTTTATAAAATAGAATATAATCTAACGGAATGTCTGCAAGTTAGTTATTCTACATTATACATATTTAAGTATTTACTTTCTAAAGAGAATTTAGTATGAAGAAACAAGATCCGAATGTGCCTGAAGCAGTTTCTCTGTACACTAAATATAAAAAAGAAATCAGACTGAAGAAACAACATTCAATTGCGCCTGAAGCAGTCGTACAAAAAAATCTATTAATCGTATATCATCTATATTCTTATACTATAAAACACATATAAAACACATTGCAAACAAACCAGGTATATCAATTTCTAAATGGAAAACTATTAAAGCTTGATATAAAACTTGTTCGTATCGCAAATTTTTTGTTTCTTCCCGCTTTGAAAATTAATAATTTTCAAAAGTAGTTTTCATCAGATCCGTTCTGAAGTCCTAGGAAGCCGTTCCGTCTATTTCCGGCTAAACGTCCGGCCGTGTGTGCGTGTGCGTTTGTGTGTGTGTATGTGCGTTTGTGTGTGTGCGTGTGTGTGTGCGTTTGTGTGTGTGTGTGTGTGTGTGTGTGTGTGTGTGTGTGTGTGTGTGTGTGTGTGTGTGTGTGTGTGTGTGTGTGTGTGTGTGTGTGTGTGTGTGTGTGTGTGTGTGTAAATAAAAGTTTGTCGCACGATATCTTTAGAGCAAATTAACCAATCCAGATGGGCGAAACGGCGTTCGAGTGTTCATCGAGCCTTCGAGAGAGAGAAATTAGATTTTAAAGTCAATCGGTCGAGCAGTTTCAAACATTTTTGTACTTAAAAAACTGCGTCGAATGCCGCCAAGCAAGTCAAAATCGAACGCGCGTTCAAAAATTATTGCCATTTAAAAATTTTTAAATAACGTACCCGCTTACTTTCACTCGAAATTAAATAGGAAGTTCCAGGGATGGCCTGCAGGATCAACCGTTTTTTCAGACTTTTTAATTTAGAAATATTTGCCGTCATCGTTCTACTTGGCGGGGGTTTACGATCGATGTACAAGACGTCTCGCATTTTACACGCAGATCCTTACTCTGGTATAGATATTTTGTATGTGTGGGGCATAAAAGATAATGGTACCGCTATCTAGCGGTAGCCAAGTGCACTTCGGGTTCCAATATTTTCCTTAATCAACTTTTACTACCCCCACGGGACAAGATGGCGTAATGGATTCTCTTAGAAACTAAAATGCGATATATAATTTTCTTAGCACTAAAGGTTTGCGTGTTTGCATGTGCCTTGAGTAATTTCATTTGAAAGATGACACAGAATCTACCTGTATTTAAAACTATTAATAAAATAATAAATTAATAGCAACAAAATATCGAGTTCGTTGCTATTAGTTTGTCACAGGCGTCAATCCGATTTAAATAATTTAAGTGTATTTTGTATTGTACATATTGTGTATATATGTTTTTATTGTGTATATAGAATATTTAGAAATGTATTAAAAAGTTTGGATAACATTTTGTATTTATCATGTGTCATCAACAGAATCTAGGGATACCTTAATCCTAAATTATTAACGAATTTATAGTTTAGAAAAACCTTTTATTATTCATAAAAAATTTACATAAAGATTAAAACCTCTTTTATTCTATTTTCAAAAATTTAAAAATGTTAAAAAAAATACGGCGGCATAATTGTTAGTATTTCGTTACGTCAAGGAAAATTAAAATTGTTCTACTGATATTAATTAATGAAAAGGGATTACATAGGTTGTTTTTCTTTTTTAATTTAACGTGCTGTGTGAGCTTTAAGAGTCATGTCACGTTGCCTTTAAGTCCAGATGAAATGTTACGAGCCGTGGGCATGTTAGTAAACGGTGCTGTTCACGCGTCGTTACTGAGGTCCTACACACCAGCCAAAACGTGATATCAAGGTTTTGGTCACGTTATCGCAGTACTGGGGATGTGGCTGAACGGCACACGGGTAGATATCGTGTTACTACGCAGAGACAGGATCGATTTACCCAAATGACTGCCAGATGACATCACGACGATGAAACTACTACAAAGACTCCAGGAGGACCACCAGCTGCTGGTAAGTGACCAAACCGTGCGAAGGAGGTTGCATGAAGTTGGTCTTCACGCTGGAAGACCGATACGTGTTCCAGCATTGTGACGTGGCAATCGCAGTCGGCGGCTTTCCTGGAGTGGAGTGACGAACAATGGTATTTGGTGCTGTTTACCGATGAGTCACGATTTGGGTTTCATCCGGATTCATGGAGAATACGCGTTTGGAGAACTCCAGGGAGAGTTAGCCGTCTACGGCACCCTCAGTACCACTCATTCCAAGGAGAGACAATTACGATGTGGGCAGAAATTCGTCGTGGCGGACGAACCCAGCTCATTTGGATCCAAGGCAGCATGACTACACAAAAATACCAAGAGAAGGTAGTAGAACCTGTTATTGTCCCATACATAATCCAATTGGGCCAGGAATTTCTACACATGCACGATAATGCTCCTTCCCATACGGTGCGGCTGGTGTCGGCCGCTCTCCGAGACCACGATATTCAAGTTTTGGATTGGCCTGCACAGTCGCCCGACTAAAATCCTATCGAGCAGGCCTGGGATATGTTACAAGGAAAAGTTTTGAGAGATTTCCCGCCAAAGTTGACGACGGAACAACAAATTTAAGAACATGGGACCGCAGCAAGACATTGACAATTTAATTTTAAGTATGAACAATCGATGTCGATGTGTAATTAATGTAATAGGCGGCAACACTGTATTAATGATTAGATTTTATAAGATTTTTCACATTTTAATTAAAATTAATAGTTTTCGAAGAAGGAATGAAGTTTCGTCACCATACTAATTTTCTACGGCGAATAAAAAAATACATTTTTTTAAAGAAAAAGTACGAAATGTTTATATTTTTTTTTTATTAAAGACCTTAAAATAACCTATCATTTTTTCATTTACTATATACGAAAATTCTTCATAGATTTTTTTAGATATTTGATGAAATATAAAATATCTCTAGATTCTGTTGATGTGTTTATATCATTCTTCCCTGAGAAATTTTTTTTTCTAACCCTGGGCAAAACTTTGTCGCTTAGGTATATTTTAACTTTATTTCCCATATTTAGAATTTTAAGTTGTGATGAAAATATAAAAAAAAAAACTTGCCTGAGTGTCGAGGAACTCTCGGTTGAACCGAAGTTTCTTTTGTAGTATATTATTGATTAACAAATACAGATAAATGAATTACTACCATCTATTAAAATGAAGCGTCATTTAAAATAATATTTCTTTCATGGCAAGATAAGAAACAGTGCGAGGGAGACGGCTATTATTCCATCTCGCTTCTTTATAGCCGCCAAGACCGTCTAAACTACGTCAGAATGGGTCGTGACGGAAAACAACGTCCGAAGGGGTCGTGACGGAAAACAACGTTAGAAGGGGTCGTGACGGAAAACAACGTCAGAAGGGGTCTTGACGGAAAACAACGTCAGAAGGGGTCGTGATGGAAAACAACGTCAGAAGGGGTCTTGACGGAAAACAACGTCAGAAGGGGTCTTGAAGGAAAACAACGTCAGAAGTGGTCGTGACGGAAAACAACGTCAGAAGGGGTCGTGACAGAAAACAACGTCAGAAGGGGTCGTGATGGAAAACAACGTCAGAAGGGGTCTTGACGGAAAACAACGTTAGAAGGGGTCGTGACGGAAAACAACGTCAGAAGGGGTCTTGACGGAAAACAACGTCAGAAGGGGTCTTGACGGAAAACAACGTCAGTAGGGGTCGTGACGGAAAACAACGTCAGAAGGGGTCGTGAGGGAAAACAACGTCAGAAGGGGTCTTGACGGAAAACAACGTCAGAAGGGGTCGTGACGGAAAACAA